TTTTTTGGTTTTTCTCCGGTACCGGGAACCGAACTCACGACTTTGCACTTGCCAGGCAGGTGCTTTTGCCACTGAGCTAAATCCCCAGCCCCTAATTTCAAGTTTTTAATAACATGATCCCTTTGTTTTGCTTAACCTATTGATTAACCTTAAATTCATTCCATCTATTCTATTCTAACCATCTCAAATTAGAAGAATTTGCATGTGTTGGTGAAAGGAATGAATGATAATAAATTATTCCTTTATTTTGCAGTTAGGATATTAATAGGAGGAAGGCAAATAAAAAAGGTATGTATATGCCAAGTAAGGTAAGCCAAGTAGCCCATGACAAAAATTACCATTAACTATTTTTAAACAAGTAGAGAAAGACAAACATAAGCTGTAATAGTATAATGTTAAAAGGGGTTGTTAGAATTTCATTCTAGTTTCTATTTAATGCTTTTAGTATTACTGCATGACTGAAATCTGAAACATCTTTTGGATATAATCATTACCTAAAAAGTTTGACTTCAACAGAAAAAGTCCTTCTTGATAAGTAGAAATGAACACACTAATTTAGAGAGCTCTTAAATCTTTTAGATCATAACTAAAGACTATATAAGAGTCCTATTTGTAAGGATAAGAAGTCATAATTTAGCAATGATTTCTTGAAGTCACAATTTTTACTCTGCATGTCAAACGCACCAAGATAGAAACTATAAAATAGTGTCATACGAATTTCTGCACATTAAAATCATACTTAAGTCTTTTCACATGACTGAAAGCAAAATATATTTTAAAATGTTGAACTATGAGTTTTCTGGTTTGAAGAGGAATGAATTTGGAGAACTTTTTACCTGTATGTACTTTGGCATTTTTATGCCTATGTTTAAATATTCATGTATATTTATTTACAGTTACCCTTCTTTTGTTAGTCTAAATTGCTAGGTGTACCCTTTTTGGAAGTCTGTCTATAATTATCTCTTATTTAGTTATTGTGAATTGATAGCTATACCTACTTCTTGAAAGTTTGGTGTAGGATAAAAGTATTTATTTGGTCTGAATCTTATTAAAACAATCTTGATGGTTATTTAATATTTCATGTCCAAAGTACCCAGTTTGACTTACATCCTTCATATATTGACTGACAACTGCATTCGGGTGGATCTGAGAGGTGAGATCAGAACTGTACTATATGTAATTGCAGGAAGATGATTAATAATGGAAAGACATTATTTCTAAATTCAGAAATAACTCCTGTCCTATGAGACAGAAAACAACTACTCATTTCATACCATTTAATCAAACTTTATTCTATTAAGGTTAAGATTTACTACTAGGGGTCTGATGTGTTTCCTGTCTTTTTCTTTTTTTTTTTCCGGTACCGGGAATCGAACTCACGACCTTGCACTTGCCAGGCAGGCGCTGTGCCACTGAGCTAAATCCCCAGCCCCCTATTCCTGTGTCTTTATATGTTTTATTCATCTAGTGAGTAAATTTATATGTGAAGTATAAAGAATAAGAAAACGTGGAGATAATTTAAACTTTAGAAAAAGAAATGGCAGCTTGTGCAATATTGGGAAAATAGAATTGTAAAACAAAAATACCACAAAAAATTTTATAGTCCGAGATCTAATAAAATGGTAAATTGAAACCTGAGAGTATAAAGTACAATACCCTTCACAGTATTTCTCACTTGCATGATTATTTCCAGTACAGAAAAATGAGCTTCGGAAGGGTAAATAAAAACCTATTAAAAACTCTTACTTATGTTAAATCATCGTTTTTGGGGAAAACTGATGAAAAATTCTTAGCCAGAACAATTTAACAAATATAGTAGTTAAAACAATAAAGTTAACTTTATTAACTATTAGCAAATTTCAATCCACTAAAATAAAATTAATTCAAAATCTTTTTAACCTTAAGGGTCTCAAAATCCACTAACATATGTAGGTCATGTACAAACTCATGGATGAGAAAGAACTGCTTAATAAAGCTATAAAGGTATCAACAAAAGATCAAAGGCAAAACTCTAGTCTACATTCATTCTGTCTATAGTTATCACTAGATTATAAGTATAAAAATTGTTTTATAATATTAATAAGTAGAATTGGGAATATAACTCAGTGGTAGAGTACTTGCCGAGCATGCCAGAGGCCCTGGTTCTTATCCAGTGCCAGAAGGGAAAAAAATCTCTCATAAATTTAAATAGATATTGTTCAGTGACTACAGAAAACCAGATTATAAGATCAAGGTTTCTTTGAGTCTACTCTATTCTAAACAACACCAGGAGTGCCTAAAAGAAAAAAGAAAAAAAAAAAAAGACTACATGTATGCAGCTAAAACATCTGATCTCGTTAGGAAGAAGCAAAACATATTTTCTCTAAAAATATAAATATTACAAAGTAAACAATTATATGACTTTGATCAGGCAAAAGCTATGTACTATTATCTAGCACAGTTATGATTTTAAGAATAAATATGTGACAACATTTTTTTGGTGGTATAGTTCAATTGTTTATCTATAAAAAAACTGATATGCCATGGTGGTTTATATACATTTATAATTAGTAATGAAATAAAAAACAGTTACCAGAAGTTGGAGATTTGCAGCGATCCTCTGGGACTACACTCCCTTCACTAATATCACACAGACCTGCTAAAAAGCAAAAACAATAAACAAGTCACATCACGAATTTACAAAAGCACAGATTGCTTTCTACTTACTGTTTACATTTCACTACTGTCCGTTTAAAAGAAGCCAGCAGATTAATAAACTACTAAAATTGATACTATACTTATTAGATGTGAGCTAGGAACACTCTGACATTAAAGTATCTTATGTCAATATGCCAGTCATCAGTTAAATAAGTAAGAACATAGAATAGAAACAGAATTTCGAAATGAGGTAATTTCTTCTTAAAAGACATTAGACATAGCGCAGGACTTTACTGAAAGTCAGAAATGTGAAGTATATGACATTTTTCAATTTCTCAAGGGAGAATAGGTTTAGTAGTTTTGTATGATAAGGACCTTTGACTTAAATTTCAAACATTTTCCTTAAATGTTTCTGAATGATAATTAAGAAAATATTTTGTATCTCCACTTCTGCAGTATTTAAAATGGTCCACATCACTCATCTTTATAGGACTACATCTCTTAAATGTGTAGCATCACAGTTTTAAAAGACCTCTAACAAAATTACTCTTTTCAAATATACAATAATTACATATGTACAGCTGATCAATTTTATAGCATGGCCTAAATTCTTAGCAAAAATCATAGGCAGGTATTTTATTCCATGGACAAGAACTAAAAATTCTTGGTAAAAAAAAGTACAAATATTCATTTGTCTGTCTACTGAAATGAACAAATTCCTTGAAAATTGTTTGAAGATTAATAATAATAATACATCAGGAGTTTGGACTAGCTGCTCAACAGACCAGGGGTTGCACGCCTAAGCCTCAGAAGTCAGGTGTTATACTGACTGATACACTTGCGTGGACAGCCAGTACCTGCTCACCTAATACTCTGATTAAGATGCCCCAATCTCTAATGTCGCTAAGAAAACCTTTTAGCAACATTTCCAGAGAACACTAAGTACTAAATTAGATTTATAACAAGTGCTAATTTCTAGTTTGAAATATATATTATTTGTTTTCATTTCTAGACAGTTCTTGAATGAGACTCAGTAGTTTTTTTAAAATTTTCACCAAATTAATGGTTCTGAACAGAAAAAAATTGAATTGTGTTTTATACATGTACCAATTCCCTACAATAAATGTAATCATTATGTACTGCAAGCATATACTAATTAAGTTTTTAAAAGCCCAAGTTTCTATAGCACTAAGATCACTGGTTTAATCCTTATTTACATAAATGAACTTTTTCCTGAGAGAATGCTAAGGTTGCAGATTTCTAAGTAGTGATAATAATAAAGTCCACTGTTACAATGTTCCAAGTACTGAATCCTAAAAAACAGTAGAGTTTGAAATTTTAACTCTTGGGAATTTTTGTCACCAATATACTACATGTAGTATAAATACTACAAAACAAAGAATGTACCATATGATATAATTACATAATTATTGTTCTTAAAATAGCCTAAGACAAAACATTTGGGAAGCTGAATTAAAGAGTGTGGATTTAGATGATTTAATTTAAATATGATATGTATTATAATAAGAATTAAGTGAGTTAAAACCCTTCAATATCTCCTGTCTCATTCAAGATAAGAAAGTCCAACCGTATATAGCAGATTCAAATGAACAACCCCATGGTATATGGTATCTGCTGACCTCTGAGTTTATTTCCCTTCCTTCTCCATTTCTGCTTTCCCAGCATCCTCTCTCTCTACTCTAGCCACACTATCCCCACTGTTTTGTGACCTCAACAGGTACATTGCTTCCAAGTTAGCTGTACTTTTAATGTGTCTTCTTGTTCTCTTGCTTTCTTCAGGCGTCCTCACAGATAAGAGCTCTCTTACTCCCTCTAAATCTTTACTCTGACCTCCCCTGAATACTCTGTTTTCACATTCCCATCAATGACATTTCCAATCTCCCTGCCTTTAATTATTTCCCCCCAGCACTATTATGTAACTTACTATAAACTCATCCTTTTAGTTGCCTGTTGTCCAGTAGTTCTATGAGAAGAGGAAGTTTTGTACTTTGTGGTTTATTTCCTATGACACATCCCACCTGGTGGGTGCTCAATAAACATCTGATGAATGATGATATGTGAAATATTTTCATAGCCTATATGTAGTCCACCCTGTTATTACCAGAATCTTTTCAGCAAATGTCCCTAGCAGCATTGTTACCAGGCTTTGCTCAAGTGTAACCTAACTCTACTAGGTAGCTGGTCATACCCGACATATACTGAATGCTTATTAGGTACCAGGCACTTTTCTAAATTCTTAACTCATTTAGCCCTCACAGTAGCAAATGAAAGTATTTTCCTCATTTTACAGAAGAAGGAACTGAAGCACTGAGTACTCAGTTCGTTAATTCATATAGTTTGTGCTGATATTACTTGGACAACATTTCATGGCTGTATCTTGTACTCTGAGTAACTATTATGAAGATAACAATATGTATTGTATTAATTATTGTTACTCTACTACTAGCCTGTTTTGAAAGTGTTTTATTTTTCTCTTTAATAATAAAAAATACAGTGATAAAAATTTTAGGAGATAATTATTTCAGGGTATAGTTCATTTCATGGCCACTATTCGGTATTTTACTGGTGGAAAGTACTTCACATATTATGCAAAATATTATTTAAAGAAATAACCTGCTGTAGCTGGGTGTGGTGGTGCAATCCTATAATCCCAGTACTAAGAAGTATCGCCGTGAGTTTGAGGTCAGCCTGGGCTACACAGTGAGTTCAAGGCTAGCCTGAACTACATAGCAAGACCCTGTCTCAAAAAACAAAACAAAACAAAACAAAGAAATAACCTGTTTTAAAAATGAGGAGAAATTACAAAATAAACATAGAAATATAATTTTAAACATTCTACACTTCTCATATTAGTGTATTCAGAAGTTTTATTACATTACCGAGCTGCATTATGCTGTGGTAAACAGTAATAAAGCAACCACTGCCAACAACGTTCCAGTCATGAGATCAGATATGTGACATATGCCACCTCACTTAATGCTTACACTACCTGTCTGCGGGAGGAATCACCTCCACTCTACAACTGAGGACACCTGGCTCAGAGAAGTATCTTCTCTCTAGCACTGTGCACTTCAAATGAGGTGGATACTGCTTTCACCTATAAATCACTTTGGGAGTCTATCCTGACCCGTGAAATGAAGACAATTTTGATAAGCTCACCTTCTCTTTCAAATGTTCAGACAGAAAGTTTAGTTTACTATTTAAAAGTTCAGCAAATATAATCATGTGCTATTCAACATAATGAATCCACTAACCAAGGCACATTACATCAAAGTTACTGTTACACAACAAAATGAGCCTTCAGATAGCATGGTTTAACTCATGGGCCAGCAAGCATTTAACCTTAAACTAATTCAGACAGGAACTAACTTATTCGAACTAAAATCAAATACTCAGCTTTAATGCTGTAGCACAAACACAGCCAGAAACAACATACAAGAAAAACAGCCTGCACTGCTCCAATATAACTGTATTTACAAACTTCAGCTGCGGGCCAGATTTGGCCAGGAGATAGGAGCTTGCTAATTGTTTAATCTTGAAACTGTCAAACTGAGCTAGGTATTTAGGTCACTTCTACAGATGTGGTTCAAAAATTATCATGGAATTCTTTATCAAATACCTAATTAACTCCAGAAAATATGCTAACAGGCTGCCATGAGCCTATAATTCATTACCAGATTTAAAAAGTAAAATTAACTTTGCTGCAAATTACTTTTAGTAAAATTTGCCAAATTACTATCTCCACTTTTCTATGCATACAAGCCATAAGTTACATAGCCACTCATTCTAGAATTCTAACTAATCTGTACCTTCAGTGAACTGATCTGTAATACATTTGACCTTTACCAATTTGGGTTCTTTTAAACTTCACTAATTTCCTTGATAACCACTTATCATGTTTGGGCTGCTCTGTTTACATAAAGTAGCCTGGGCTTTAATTTCTCTTATTTGTTTTCATACTTTTCAGAGAGAAATAGCATTCTTTTTTTGTTTTTTTTTTGTTTTTTTTTTGTTTTTTTTTTGTTTTTTGTTTTTTTCCGGTACCGGGAACCGAACTCACGACCTTGCGCTTGCCAGGCAGGTGCTTTGCCGCTGAGCTAAATCCCCAGCCCCCTAAATAGCATTCTTTTTAGTGGAAGGCTGAGAAAGTTCTATCTTCAGTTTTCCAATTATTCTTTAAAATCATCTCTAAATTGGGTCCTACTATTTTCTGCCCTATATTTTTAAGATAACCAAACGTTCACTGTTTTATATCCCATTATTTTGGAAATCAGCCTTATAATTTGACACAGCAGTTTTTGATTGACACAATATTTTGTGTATTCTTATTTCATACTTTACTTCACACACACACACGCACATACACATACACACACACACACACACACACACACACACGTCCCCTTTGGTCCATGTTTTCACTTTCTAAAGTTTCAGTTACTCATGGTCAATCTCAGTCTCAAAATACCATGTGGAGAAGTCCAGAAATAATTCATGAATTTTTAGTTAGGTGCCATCTGAGTAGCATGATGAAAGCTCGCACAGTCCTCCACAGACATGAGCCATCATGCTGCAAGCTGTATATGCTGCCTGCCCTTTAGTCATTTAGTAGCTGTACTGCTCATTAGATCTATTGTCCTGGTACCGCAATGCCCGCTCAGTGTTTGTAATCAAGCAACTCCCAAGACTAGATATGCTGATAATTCAGATTTTCCAAAGAGAAGTCAACAAAATGCCTTTATTTTCTCCTATTGCTATAATGAGGACAAGTATAGCACTATAAAATGTTTTGAAAGACCACATATACTTAGCTATTATTACAGAATATAGTTGTAACTGTTCATTTCATTGTTGTTGTTGATAATCTCTTACTATGCCAAGTTTGTACACTGAACTATATTACAGGTGTACATATATAGAAAAAACATATAGTACGTATAGGTTTTAGTTATCTTGAAATGTATTTTCTCCAGATAACAGGGCTATGGCAGTATTTCTTTTTCTTATAACACACACACACACACACACACACACACACACACACTCAGAAATTTTTAACTGGTACTATTGGTTAAATAGTAACCAATAACTCATAAAGTGAAATTTAAGAAAAAAATTTTTAAATTGCATGATACTATTGGTCTTTATGCTTGGCTAAACGTAGGCATCCTTTATTAGCAATTTTATGTAAACTGCTATAGAAGAAAAAAGTAATAGGACTAGTACAACTTTTCTATAGGTTTTTAAAAAAAAATTGTTTCAAGTTTTTATCTCTCAGAAAACCTCCTTCACAACTTTCCAGCACTAAGTACTAGAAACTGAACTGGAACACACAGCATTCAGATAGCTGTTTTTACAAACATGTTATGAAATCAATCTAAAGTGTTTTAATAAGCTCTTCTAAAAATAAATGAAACAATACAATTATCTTAGACACTAATTTCTATTGCTTTATTGAAAGGAACAGTTAATGTTTAACTGTTTGTTCAATCTTACATGCCTGTATTTGTTTATCTGAGTAGATAATTTGAAGATAACAATATGTTATACAACAACCATTGTTAATTTCCTATCACCTTGTCTGAAATTCTGCATTGCTTTTATTGTTTTTATGTTGCTTTATGTCTTTGTGTTTGTTAATTTATTTTTGTTCTTTTCTCTTTAAAATAAAAAAAGAAACAAAGATAAATAAACAATGATGAAACAAAGATAAACAATGACAAAAATCAAACATGCCAAGACATAAATGACTTACTTAAAAGAGAAGAACGAAGCTTTTTCACAGACTCAGAATACAAGCTAGAAAGGCCGCACATGCAAGAAGTCACAATCAGCATACCTCAGTGAAGCAATGGTAAGGGAAGAAAAAAAAGGAGACAAAACTAGAATGGTATGGTTGGAACAGCAACCTCTACTGAAGATACAACACGACAAAATGATCAGACTCACAAGCAGAATGCAAAAAAGGAGCTCTGGTGGTTCAACCGGTTAGTGTGCAGTACAGAATGAGAAAAACTTTTGAAAAGGAAAATTCAACCATCAAGCCAAAACAATAAAAGGTCTACACTGCTTAGGGTTTGTTTGCTTTTGGGTTTTTTTTTTTGCTTTTCTCATATGTTGTAAAATTAGTAGTATTAAATACTATTAACAGCTGTAGTTGACTATTAGTAGTTAATACTAATACTTGTAATGCTAATATTAGTAATACTAAGACTGAGGGAAACTGAAAAAATGAATCTTAAGGAGAATTTCATTTCTTTTTAAACTTTTGTGGTGCTGGGGACAGAACCCAGGCAGCATTCTATTTCTGAGCTACACCCTAGAGTAACTGAGTTACCAAGTATAGAAAGAGCTTCTCAAAGGGTATTTTAGTGCACACTAGTGTCTTGTAAATGAGGCAAACAGGCTCCAAACAGGACTTCCCATAAGTCCTTGGGCTGCTAGGCAGGCCCATGGGAAACTGAAGTCCACAGGCCAGTGTCTGCTAAAGTCTCATTAGTGTATTCTACATCCCACGCATTGAATCTACTTACTTGTGTGTGTATGTAAGAGGTATGAGAGAGATAGCCAACTCTACATGTGCTCTATGATCATTAATGTTCAAATTTTTAAAATTAAGACTAATTACCTAGCAAACACAAAAGAATGCTCTATATAGAGAATTCAAAATTAATCCAGGCCTGCACAGTATAAAGACTGAGAATATTTGTTGAATTTAAATCACTTTTGCATTCACATTTCTTTCTGCATACAAATTATTCCTTTGAATTAAACAGCTGGACCAATAAATTATCGGTTTATTAGAGACCAAACAATAAAAAGGGGTAAAAACTTTGAAGTTAAACCTTTGTTCTATGGTAAGATGGCAAATATTCGTGTTATTATAACAGCTGAAGAAATGTAACACTGTGGCTTTTTCTGAACATTCATAAAATCTGAGTATAGTAAGATCAAAACTCAGTAACAATAGAAAACAAAAATAAGACTAATGCTTTTGCTTGTTCTTGATTGTGACATATACCATCTACATCAGACAAACTCTCTCCTAAAGTACTTATATTTACAAAAGAAGTCAGCATTCATAGAAATTTTAAAGGTCAGGGGGTGTTTCCTTTTTTCTATTTACCTCCGGAAGGTTGTCGAGATTTACGAGGAGATCGGGGTTCTCTTCGATAAGGGTCATTAGAGCCATACAATTCAATGGTGCCCAAGTTGAGCAACACTGTTTTCTGGAAGTAGTCAACCATAGCAATGCCATTACAATTGCCAAAAACCACCCTGGAATAGACAAAAAATTCCAGCACAAACAAATAATTACAAGAAAATATAATGTCTTATATATATGAGTAAGGAAGCACAATTGGTCTTTCAAAAAATTCTCCTTTGAAACAAAACACAACCATGAACATGGAAAAACAGGTTACCTCTACCTTCTCATGGAACTGTTCCTTGTGGATATAATTTATAAAAAAAATTTCACACAAGAATTAAAACTTTATCAGAAATATAAATCCCCCATACTAAGCAATGTAATGTCTATTTTTCTTTCTTGAGGGAAGACATTCTCTTCTAATAGAAAAATAGAGGGTGATACCCTATAGCAAGTTTTGGTCAACCCTACAGTCAAGAATAAAGCAGAAAGCATACAGTCTTAGAAGACCCTTTCTGGGGTGTTTAAAGTATCTTTTTAATGTTACGTCAGGAGCTATAAATTAATCAACTATGAATAAAGGAGTATTAGTCTTGTAAGACCCTCTACAGCAGGAGTTGAGAGCTGACAGGTACACAGAAGCTACATGTACAGAAGCACTAAACAAGGGTAGGTAAGAACTGTGGTGACATGAGGAGTATATGACTATTGAAAAAGTGTATATAAAACTCACTTGTCTATCGCCGCACAGGAGTATTTACACTGGCCGTATAACTAGTCTTTCAGTTCAAGTGTAAAATATGGGTTTAGTCAGATGTGGTGGTATATGTCTGTAATCCTAGCACTTGCGAAGCTGATGCAGATCGCCACAAATTTGAGGCTAGCCTGGGCTACATAGCGAGTTCAAGGCCAGCCTGAACTACAACAAGATCCTATCTCAAAAAATTTTTAAAAATCAAGGCAAAAACAAAATGAAACAAAAAATGGAGTTACACATTAGGTAGTCATGGCAATTAATTCAACTTTTAAAAATACACAAAAGCACCAAACAAACTATAAGCTCAATGAGGCCTGTCATCAATTGATGTACAACTTCCTGTGAAATTTTCTACTAGTTCTTTTGCTTATCCCCTGTGGGTCTCCTTTGTGACTGAGGGCAATCAAATACTTCAAAGAAGAAGGTCTGTGCTCTTATGTTGTAAGGCATCAAGTAAAAGATATCAAAGAACATTATCTCAGACTGCAGACAGTTTTAGTTCCATGTACAATTCCAAGAGGGGGAGAAGGTAGTGGTAGCTACCAGCAATAAGAAAGATGAGTGAGTCCCTAAGGCTGCCACCCAGGAAAAAGACAGTGACCTGCACATGACAAATCAATCAGTAATTGATTTCTTACACTGCCATGTTGAGCTCTGAAATTTAAAAAATGACAAATGTCTTATAGGGTTACTGCATTACAATAAAAAGTATATATAATTAACACTATATATCCAAAGGCACAAACTGATAATAAAACAAATATGCCTATATTACAGGCAAATACGTCATTAAATTATTATGTCTTTACAAACTGTACAACTTTGGAAATAGAAAAATGACATAGTTATGAATCAATATTCACAGAATTAAATTATAAATGTCTTCTGGGTTCACATTGCTAGACATCCATGACACTAAGTAGGAAAATTATTTCTGGGAGTATACACAGGAGAGGACATATTGACTTTAAAAATTTATATCAAACAATTCCTTGGTTCTGGAGATATTTACTTTATGTTAGGAAGCCATATATATATACCCAGCATAAACTATTCAGGACTAAATTATGCTCCAAATGCTGAATTTGGTTTGAAGTACAAGATTTTTAAAAAGAAAAATGAAATATGGAATTCTATGAGAAAAGAGACTAAAAAAACGTATCTTATACTTACAGTCCATACGAAGAATTGACTGCCAGGCTGGTTATTTGCTGCGGTGGTTCCCCTCCCACCCATACCAACTGAATAACTAGTTCCATCTGATAACCTGGTGACTGTTTAAGTGGTGAACTTTTAACTCTGAAAAAAAAAAAAAAAAAAGGGAAACATTTTACCTTTTGAATTCATTTTAATTAACTTGTTACCAGACATAATCATATAGTTATACATAATTATACAAAAATAATTATATATAAAGTTATACTGGATTTTTTTTTCAATGTAAAAATCAGAATCCTTTTACAAGCATTTGATTTAGCTGGAGAAACTGAGTATCTACGTAAATAATTTAAAAAGACATTATATGCAAATTCCACATAGAAAGTGGGAGAGGTTTCAGGGTGTCAGAGTAAAGAGGAGAACAAAGAAAAAGGAGGAAGGAGAAGAAGGGAGGAAAGAAGGGCAAGGAAGGGTAAGGAGAACAACAGAGCATGAGATTAAGACAGGAAAAAATTCAGAAAAAATACAAGCTGTAGAAGTGTGTGGTCACTAAAGAAAAGCTGGCTGAAAACATACAAGAGTAAGTTAAAAACGAATGTAAACCATTTATTTGTGTGTGACCATTTTTACTATGAAAAAAAACCCCAAACTCTTCTTGACTTTAAGGTGGTAATACTTTTGATTGCTGAATAGTACACTAAATATTGCTACTTTTAAAACAGATACAAAAACAAGATAATGAAGCAGAGAAATCCTAACTAAGAATCTGTAAGTGTAAATGTGTTTATTGAGGACAGTATATGTAGTAAAAGTGAAAAATCAATACAGCAAGATGGATGAGGGCCAGACTCCAGCGGGGCTTGAGGTGGGAAGGTCTCCTGGCAATACAGAAAACTCCAGGCTTTTGGAAAGCTAGAGTAGACAGTCCTGGCTTTTACCAGCTGCTTCTGTAAAAAGCAGCAACGTTACTAATTCATCATGGTCTGAGGAAACTGTGGGTACCTATCAAAGTGCATTTTAGATAGTCATATATAAAAGTAACAAAAATTTTCATTATTAAAGAAATCAAGGCTGGGGATTTAGCTCAGCGGCAAAAGCGCCTGCCTGGCAAGCGCAAGGTCGTGAGTTCGGTTCCTGGTACCAGAGAAAAACCAAAAAAAAAAAAAAAAAAAAAAAAAAAAAAGAAATCAAAAGTAATGAAGGTTTACAAGAAATATTTGGAGAAGATTAATTTGGTGGACATATGTAAGATAAAGTAAAATATAATGACCACTTAGGAAAGTCTCATTACTTTTCTTACGTGAAATAATTTTTTAAAGGTAGATTTGAAAAACATGAAGAATTGACAAGGCTTTCGGTAAGGCAGAAACCTTGCAGCTACTTTCAATTCTCTGATATAAAGAAGGTCTTCAATATTTACTGAATAAATTAATGAACTGGAGACTAAGAGGATAACCTCTCTTGGTAAGGTAGGAGAGAAGAAGAAGCCAAAATGATTCTATGGTCAGAAATAAATAAGTGAATTAACTGACCAGAAGTCAAAATGAAGAGGTAGCTTCAGGGACCCTGTGGTAAGTTTGAGGAAATGGCAGGGAATTAGAGATGCAACAACTCAGCACATCGTTAAATGTGTTCCCAAACCACAAACCACACCAATGATGAGTAAGTCCACGCTAAACTTACCTTGGCTAACCCTTAGATAAACATGTGAGGGCGAGTTTTATAAGAGATGTTTGAAGAATACTTAGACAAAACATCTATCAAACTCTAACTCAGCAAACTTCAAGTGGAATTGAAAAAATAACATTTTTTAAACACAGGAACAATTTATTTTTATGTATGACTATTTTTACTAAAATCTACTGTGACTAATTAAAACTCAAAGCATTTTTGATTGCACAGACTTTTCCTGTACTTGCTGTGGCAAAACATACAGAAAGCTTGGCATTCCAGCAATTCTGCTTTGGAGTGACAATGTGTAAGGACAAGAAGCCTCAGTGCTGAATGTCCTGACACCAACTTCAGAGGTGAGAATGCTTCTGAATCATTTTAGTGCGTACTTCTGGGTTGAGGAAGACCCGTAGCACCTCAACTTCTGAGGACATGTTTATTAGGCAGTATAAGCTGTCCAGACTTCAGGGTAACATGAATCATTGAGGATACTCATAACATGAACTGAGCTATCGTCACTGCTGGTAGTACAAGGTTTACAGGCAATGCATTCAGAACTGTGCACTGGATAATTCTGAAGAATCTGAATTTCTGAGTTCTTTCAGGCAAATACAGCGGTCAGATACAACTGTCAGTCTCAAGACAAAAATGACAACTGAACCATTTTATCACGTCTAGGTAACACCCTGACACAGATGTTGGCTGAAGAATCGGAGTGGGCTATTTTCCCCTTGAGTGAACTGGGCAACGAAATGCTTCCATCTTTGGTATAGGAAATGTGCACATCAGATTAGGTTCTGAAGAATAAGAACAGTCTTTGAGGGACAATTTTAAAAGTTTGTGTACAGGCACATCTAAGACACTCGTGATCAGAACTTAGTGTAAGAAAACAAAACTTTTAAGGGGGAGGAAAAAGCCAGCTAAGAATGATACAAAATGCTCAACTAAAAAAAATGAAAACCTGATCAAGAAATTTAAAACCTGCTCAAGAAATCACAGAAATTAGAAGTTAGCTCCCTCTCGTAAGTTGCAACAAAATCATCCTAATTAACCAAATTCCGTTCCTTAAAGTAAAAAGCCCTAGCTGTTCATGATAATATTCCAAAGGGGTAGGGAATGAACATTATCACCAAATCATAGTCACATTAAGATTTTTAGGATTAGGAAGAAAATTTGTTTATATTTTATTGTGCATATACTCCCAGGATAGGCAAAGTATATCAACACACAAGACTTCACAGTTAATGTTAATAACAAAAAAGACTTTATCCCCATAAAATATTAATGGTCTGGTTAGCAAGACTTTCTCTTTATTTAGCAACATACTCTCCCCTTCCAAATGCTCCAGCTTAAAAGGTATTCCTATATTAACTGGCAGTCTACTAAATACAGATTAATAGTTTGTCAACACATTGCCCACAGTTATGAAAGATCCTCTAAAACAATAAAGATGGCCATACCATGATTTCAGTCAATGAACAGTAGTGAAAATTCCCAATTCTAGAATTAAATTGCTATCTAAGTGGATCTAGACACTACTTAACTCCGTGGTTTACTAGCTGCGAGTTTTAACATTTGTTCTTTGTTGCTGCCTTCACTGGTTCTTTCAGTCAGTAAAAATAATTGAAAAAAGGACTTTCTGAGAACAGAGGACAAAGACTCACCTATAGATCCTGCCTTTAACATACACCTAAAAGCCAATGCAAGAGGTCTGGTCATGCTGGTTTAATCTTTTGTCAGTTCTATTCCCCTGACCTATCTCATCATGAAGAAGAAATGTGGTTATAGTGCTTATTCTTCAGGTAAGAAAATGAGTATTTCAGACTGCTGGACCTGCAGCCACAAGTCCACAAACATTTGCAGGCTGTTATGCTTTGGATCTTAAATGTCCCTCTGCACAAAGGTCATGTGTTGAAGGGTTGTTCTAGTTAACTGTTACTGGGAGGTGGTGGAAACTTTAGGAGGTGATAGAATTTGGGTCACTGGGGTCATTTCCTTGAAGAGGACACTGGGATCCCAGGCCCTTCCCTTTTCGCTGATGAGGTGAACAGCTCTGCTCTACATGTGTTCCTTGCCGTGATGCTCTGCCTTGCGACTGGCCCCAAACAAGACCAAGCAACCACGGACTGAAATCTCTGAACATGTGAGCCAAATCCACCCTGATTCTTTATATGGTGATTCTCTCAGGTTATTCTGTCACAGTGACGGAAAGTTGATTAACAGAAGTATAAGACATTATAAAACACAAACTAAATAATGTACTCTGATTTTTGGAAGATACTACATATCGATATGGAATTGTAACATTGTTCAGATCACTTCAGTAACTGATAAAATGGCTAAAAATACAGAAATGTTTAAAAATCATTCAGAAGACAAGCTGTACTTTACATGCTCATAAAAGTTAAATTTAACAAAGAGCTAAGAAAAACCCTCTAAAATCAGAAAGTCTTAAAGGAACTTTCACAAGTTTAAGTTTAAAGCAGTACTGAATAAAGAACAAAATGAACAAGGTGTAGATTCTGTGTTCCAAGTCCCATTCCAGTGTAGCCAGAACTCAAGTGCAGCTGAAAGCAGTTGTGTAGATGCCTATGTGCATGACAGCAAAAGTGAACTCAAGAAGACAGAGAGAAGCTGGACACTTTTGAGGCCCCTGACATTTTGAGCTGGGTAATTCTTTGTTGTGTATACCGTAAGAGATTCTAACATCATCCTGGCCTCTATCCATCGGACATCAATAGCATCATCCCTTTTCTCTGTTGTGACAACTAGAAATATCTCTAGTAATGGCCAAATATCCCCTAAGAAGTAAAGTCATCCACAGTTGAGAACCAGCGGCTTAAAGTATGCATCACAAATTTTTATGAACAGCATAAAGAATTTTTATAAAATCTATACTCTAAAAATGATTTGATATTTTTAAAAATCTGCTTTATTTGGAATAAGTGCCTTCTTGATTTCACTGATACTCTTCAAAGCAATTGTTAAACTCTCCACCAAAAAGAGAAATTCTAGAAAACCTAAAGCAAATCAGTGCAAAGCCTAGGGTAAATGTCTCTTTTACTTGCCACCCTCTCTACTTTGAATGTGTTACCGTCTGGCTTTTGCCCCCACCATTCTCCTGAATCTCTTGACCTTTTCCAGAGCCACCTTTCAATCATTACCTTAATTGATTTCTCTGTAAACATAACATTTTTAATCAAACTGTTCCTCACGTAATTCTTCAATGATTTTAACTGTTTACTCACTGCATTATTTCTCTACCCATAACCTTTGTGAAATTGAATCACTCAAAAATATAAATTGGAGAGAAAAAAATTTATGTCATTTATCCCCCTATAAAAACAAGATATATTTATATGAGGAATGCTACAAAACAAAAGTTTTTAAATAAAGCTATGGTAGGGCTACAAAGTAGGGAGATAGATCTTTCTCAAAAGGGAAAGAGATCAAGAGACGGAGGGATGGCGGAGAAGGGAGAAGGCAAAGGGGTGAACACAGAATTAAGATGTGTTATATAAAGATACCAAATCCACACAAAGAATGTAAGCATTATGTACTATAAACATGTACTAATAAAAATTTTTAAAATGATCATGAAAAATTGAGTCAATTTAAAGACTAAAAAAATGGAATTTTTAGAATGGTACAAAGTAGTCTGAATATAAACTAATCCACATACAAATCCAGATTAAAGGTACTGACGGATTTAGAACAGTGAGTGATGTATACTACTTATGCTTGGAGATCAAGTCTTAGCCTTTTAAGGATAAAACAATGGAATGCAATCACACCTCTCATCCCATTAAAAAAAAAAAAAGATTAATCACAGCCCAACACAGGATTCTTGTGCCAGTTTACTCCCTTACTGTAAAATATTATTGATGCTTATGATTTACTTAAACTAAAAGATAACACATAAACAACTGTAATTCTTCTCGTTATAACTTACTTTAAACAAGGTACATTATCACGAAGCCCATCAGATGAACTGCTGCTGGTAGACGGATGAGACTGAGGAGGAATGGTCTGAGGGTTGGAACCTCCCACAGGTGTTGACAAAGGGGGTGGCTGCTCACTCTCTGGAGACTCCACATCATTTATCTCATATAACAATCGAACCTCAAGCATCTGTTGAAAATAGTAAGGCAGTTTACTTACTCCTTATAACTAGTAAGCACTGTATCATAACTTGCATACAACTAAAAGTTTGTTTTGTTTTGTTTTGTTTTGTTTTTTTCTCCGGTACCGGGAACCGAACTCACGACCTTGCACTTGCCAGGCAGGCGCTTTTGCCGCTGAGCTAAATCCCCAGCCCCAACTAAAAGTTTTAAACTTAAAAATTTAACAAGATTTCCAAAGGTAAAGGAAAAATGTTTTCTGACTCAGTTTTTTAAAAAATGTGTGTACATGGGCACATAAAAACACGCACACCTCATGATTTTCCAATTTGTGGCACTCCAAAATTATACTCATATTCATATTTGCTTTACCTAAATAAAATTGATAATGTGCTTAAGGATTTACATAATCAGTAAATCCGGATAAAGATATACCAACAAATGGTATTTTTCACAAAGATAGAAATTTAAATACTGAGTTGTTTTCAAAATTCCTATACAAAATTGACTGCCAATAGTGTTCTAAATAAAACACAAATTGAAAGTAATTGAACACTTGACACCAAAAAAATTAAGAGATGATTACCGGAATGACTTCTGTAACTACTTCCTGTTTGCTGAATCTATAAATAATGACATGAGCCGAAACTCCAGCTATGCACAACATTCTACTTTCTGGACACCATGAAATGATCTGAATAGCATACGGGTCTTCATCTACAATGTCTGTGTTTGGTCTGTCTTCTTTATTTCTTGACTTTTCAAATACTTTAGATGTTTTTAATTTATATAATACTTGCAGAGTTACTAGAAAAAAAGATTATGTTAGACATTTTAGTATAAAATAAATAAAATGTTTAATCAGCATATTATGTAAGGAAAATATCCTGTATTTACCTAAATGGCATTTTCATTTCTCAACCTACATTATAGTAGTCTATTGTACATTTAGACAATGTATGCATTTGCTGAGTGGCCAAAAAAAGGTGAATTTATGTATTCATTAAAAAAAATAAACCTATCATCATGATGGATTTACATAACCTGAAAAAAATGAGTAACAAACAGATTTGGGGGAAAATGTATAAATACACCAAAAATAATAGAGGGTTTTTCACTTCCTAGAATGACTTTCTACATAGTTGCTCTACAAATGATACAGTGTTAGCACAAACTACCTGATGAAACAATGTACCGGGAGGGAATTCTCATCCTGTATGTTCTGCAAACATTAATCATAAGGCACTCTTTTCTGTTACTACGTAACGGCCAGGTATTTTCACAAAGACATTCAAACTTTCACAAGTTTAGAATCAGACATTAAAATTACTCTAGAACTTTCTGTTGATTTGGAAGACATTCCCACTTCTCATCTTTGAGTTAGAAAGAGATTTAAAGCTATTTTAAAGAATTGGAATACTGCTGTTGTGAACTATTTTTGCTATACTAATATCACTAAAAATATTTTACCCTTAAGAATTGAAGAAATGTATGTACTTCATAACTCAGTAAATTAGGTGTACAGCCTACAGATTTCAAACTAAATGTTGATTCTGTAATTACTGTAAAACAAGATATACAAAAGCTATCAAGGTTTAACATACAACAAACAATAAATATTCAAATCACTTACTTGCAGAAGCATCCCAGAACTTAACTGAACCATCAGCATGTCTACACAAAGCAAAGGAGTTAAGAATGTGATGAAGAAAAAAAGTTACATTTTTTTTCCTTTTTAAAATATATACTGTTATTTTTAAGATAGCACCAAGTTCAGAAAAAGGTAAAAACTGGAGTAAACTGGTAGGTTCTTTATAATAACTTACTTCTTGTTGTACTGTAACATGAAGAAAAGCTCTACCAGCCCAATAAATTAAAGGTCTTGTAGTCTTACTCAACTATTTTAGCTATTACTGACTTACTGAGTGAAAAGAAATTTCTACTTACCCTGTAATAATTATTTCTGGGTAACTTTGAGCACCCAAGCCCCAATTACCTCCATTGATGGGCCATTCCTATAAGAAAAGATCACTGTATAAAGCAACTTACAAGCATACTGTAAATCTTTACATACATATAATCTATCTATATATATGTTACATATAACACATATATGGAAAGAGTATCCAATGTATTTTGCTTCCAAAAATGATTTTCCAAATACTTTCTATAGAAAATGTATCAATGTTATTAAACACCCCAAGGTAATAAATTTAAAATATGAAAATATTTCAATAACAAGACTCATGTTCAATACCTTTTTGCTGTAACCTTGACGTTTCTGTCTAGCTCCAACAGAATAAAGTGCAGGAATAAGGTCCACAGGACAATCAGCAAAATATTCGCAACATGTAACAGGGGACTCATGTATAGTCAAAGGGTAGGGATTTTCAAATATAGGATATCTTTAACACAGGAAACAAAAACATTGATTAACTTAATAAATTATAATCTATGATTAACACACAATGAAAAAATTTAAAAATATACCCCTATATTGATTTATGTATATACATTAAAATTGAGGAACTTTATAATAAAAGATGCTAAGTTATAATAACAAAGGTTATGGTTGCAACTATATACAATGTGTTATCCTAGACTAAGTGCTACTTATATTTCACTTCCTTCTTGCGCCAAAGTTATGATGCAGGCATTATACTGAAGAGCAAAAGCCAAGAGTAACGTGTCAGAGGTGTGTCCGCTAGGAAGCAGCGGAAGCAGAATTTAAATGGTGCTCATAATCACTAAGCTATACAGTTCTCAGTCATGGGAACTGCATCCCTACACCAACATCAATATAAAATTTCAATTCTTTCTCTCCCCAGAATGTTACCTGGCTTCAGTGATAATCTGAAATATAATTCCCCCTTAAATGGTTTTAGATATGAACTTACTTTAATAAAGCAAAATCATTTTAAAATCATGATATTAAAATTTCATACACATAATAACATTCCTTAAAATGAGAATACTTGCTTTAAAATGTCTGTGAAAGCAGAAACTGGTTACAATGTTTAAAAAAGTACAAAACTGCCAATGTGTAAATATTAAATATATTGATCAGGACAGACATTTCAGGAAAGCCCTTTATAGACTGCAAAATGAACTATTCCAGATAAAACACAAATAAACAAAACTGTGCAATAACAAAAAGTCAGGCAACCCTATAACACAGGGCTTTCCTTAGTTCAATGATTCTACGATACACATAATCAGAAGAATAACAGGGCTAGTGATGCATGTAAAATTAACCTGACAATGGTATGTGCAGCACACTGCAAAAGAAAGTGAACAGAGAAAGACAAATAACTTATTTAGAGGTAAATTATACTAGGGTCAATTTTGAACATACAGATTTTGTGTAGCCTTAGGATACAGAAGCATGAAATTAAAACAAGAAATGTCAGAAATTCAATTAATTTTGACCTAAGAAATGAAAATAGGGGGCTGGGGACTTAGCTCAGCGGCAAAAGCGCTTGCCTGGCAAGCGCAAGGTCGTGAGTTCGGTTCCTGGTACCGGAGAAAAAAAAAAAAAAAAAAAAAAAAAAAAAAAAAGAAATGAAAATAGTATGAAATTCAATATTAACAGAATAGTTTAGCAAGTAATTAGAAGGGTGAGTCTGGAGTTTTAAAGTGAGATCCAGGTTATGGATATAAATGTAGACTTCTAAAGAAATGAAATAACTAATCTTTTTTCCACCACATAGGGAAGAAATTCTTACCCATTTTGTGCAAGATCTATAAGTACTAAATCCTTTTCTAGAAGAACCACCACAGCATATGGTTCTTGAAAATCTAGAATAGGAAAACAATACAAGAGTAGTAATTTTAAATATGCAAGAAGACAGCAAATTAGAGAATGAACATTTCTTAATTGATTTCCATTTTATTTTGTTAACATTGTGATCCTGTGATATTTCATATAAATTTAAAGCTTATATTTTAGATGAGATAAATTTACTTAATTCAGAAAAAGTTGTTTCACTTTTGTAAAGATGAATAGGACAAGAAGCTCACAGTAACTTCTATGATATAAGTTCCAAGGATGAACATGGATAACAAAACCAAAATTCAAATAGAACCATTACCATTATTGAATCTCAGATTAACTCAGTAGAGCTCTTCTATACTACGTCTTTTAAAATGTTTTATATGTGCTTATTAACACTTGTAACACACATTTCCACATCTATATAACTCAAATAGTTTCAAATGAAGTAAAAATGATGCACATTTAAATTCCTCTTAAATCACATGTTTAAGCTGTGATGATAAATTTTGTGTCAACGCTATGTTACTTCCAGCTATTTGATCAAATACCAGTCTCTACATGCTGGAAAGGTTGTTTTTTTTGGTATTATTAACATTTAAAATAGTAAACTCTGAATAAAGCAGATTACCCTCTGAATGAGTGAGCCTCATTCCATCAGATGAAGGTCTTAGGGGCACAGACTGAGGTATATTGTAAAAAAAAAAAAAAAAAAGCAGTTAAGCCTCAAGATTTAAAAATAGAAATCCTAAACCGGGTGTGGTAGCGCACCCCTGTAACTCTAGCACTAGGAAGGATGAGACCAGACGATCACTGCGACTTCGAGGTCAGCCTGAGCTACCAAAGTGTGAGTTCGAGGCCAGCATGCACCACATGGCAAGACCCTGTCTCCAAAGAAAAAAAATATTGAAATCCAGCCTGAGACCCCAATTTTCAGATTTTGAATCCAACACTTCAATTCCTTCTCTTGAAGAAATGGTCTGCTCTAAAGATTTCAGACCTGCCAGCTCCATAAGTCCTTCAAATGTATGTATGAAGGAACACATAGATAAAGCTATGTTGAAACATGTATCCACTGTATTTCTCTGAAAATAAGACTTAACTGGAAAATGAACCCAAGCATGATTTTTCAGGATGCTCATAATATAAGCCCTACTCCAAAAATAAGCCCTAGTTAAGACTGTCAGCCAGACAAACACATTTGGTATGTCCTTTGCAATACACGCTGGACATGCTGAATCCTAAGATGATAATATTAATATATAACTAAATATCAATAAATATTGACATTCATACTTAAACGATAATATAAATTATAATTAAATTTGTAAATACCCAAGCAGGAGCCTTTGGACAAGAGGCAAAATCGCACATGTGAACAGATAAACTGGAGATTTACTGCCGAATGACTAATTGGAGTAAGGACACAATATACAAATAACGTGTGCCTGGGCAACTAATGGACGTGGTTGTATCTAATTTGAATTTTTATAATTTAATGTCATGTATTACAATGATGCACAAGCAGGCTCCACGGACAAGAAGTTCTCACTTAAGAACAGCTCTATTGGGCCAGGGATGTACCTCAGCGGCACAGCACCAGTTTGGCAAGCGCAGGGTCCTGAGTTCGACTGCCACTATGAAAAAATTTTTAAAAAAAGGAGAGCTCTATACCTGGACATGAGGGGTTTTGGTCAATAGTTCTAGAGGAAATAGAGTAGCAAGAAATTCAGGCTGCAATTTGAATAAATGTACATTTCTGTACATGAGTAAATGCAGATGATTGTGCATGAATAAATATACAATATACTGCTGGACATGATAAATAAGACATCCCTGAAAATAAGCTCTATTACATCTTCTGGAGCAAAAATTAACATAAGACTGAGTCTTATTTTGGGAGAAATATGGTACATATCTCCTAGTGGTTCAGCTTTTCTGGAGAACCCTGAGAAATTTAATGCACTGATGTTTTATAGAATTTTTAAATGTCTCTTAATATGGGTACTGCTTATCTTTCAAAGACACCACTAGTTCATAATTACTAAGCAGATAAAGTTTGTTAAACAAAACAAACATACACAATAAAATTTGCAATGTTATGAGGATAGTGTCTATTCCCCAAAAGAATTAGCACGATAGGATAAAGAAACCACTTAAGACAAAATAGAGGTTTTTGTTTTGAAATATCCGTGAGTTTTAGAGGTGCAAAACTTACCATTTGGGTATGGTGTTTCACACAGCGTTAAAAAATCAACAATTGAATAGTCCATTTCTAGCACAGCAGTACTTTTCCCATGCATTACTGTTAGGCAAGGTCTTCTTCCTACAGTGTCGTATGACAAACCTCCTGATAAAATAATAAAAGGTTCCCTGGAAATAAAATATACATTTTAGATTATAAATGGCATAATGGAGACTATTTTCTTGCTGCATCATAATCTCTTTATTAATGAAATCTTAAATTCTAAAATCTCTATACATCATAAAATTGGGTATGATAATTACATGTGGAATTTTTAAAGTGGAGTAGGTTAAGACACAGGGAAATTTCTGAAAATTAAACTACAATAAAAATAAACATTGACCACTGACTCATATACTTACCCCTGGTCCCTAAAACTTTTTCTTTTACCTCTTATACAAAAGTTTCACAAAATTTCCTTGACATTTCTGCTGGTAAGTCTCTTGAATGTTGGCTTTTCTTCCAGTTCTAACCAGGGCTACTCAACAAAAGTTCCCCGAGAAGATCTTAATGCGTTGAAGTATCCAGTGTGTAACAAACTGATTGCTCAAGGACGCATCAAGAATTTTACTAGCTACAAATTTCCCTTGATAACTGAGAAAATATTCAGTTAAATAATTTGGGCTGTTTCCAAGATTTAGCAAGTATAAACTGTGCTGCTATAAACACGGGTGTGCATGTATTACTGTACTCTGATGCTTTTAATTCTTTTGTGAAGACAGGAATAGGTAGGTCAAATGGAACCTCTTGTCCTAGTTTTCTGAGGAATCTCCACACTGATTTTGACCATTGTTGCACCAGTCTACTCTGCCATAAAGAAGGATAAGCTGAGATATTTCTACCTAAATGTATGCACCTTAACACCATCCTCTTAAATGAAATAAATTGGGCACACATGTGTAAACACACATTTATAGCTTCTCTGGTATGAGAAACTGAAAGAGTAAATAAGGACCAAAATGTGTAATAAACATTATGAAACAGGAAGAAAATGTTCAAATTCAAAGGAGAACTAGGGGGAGGGGGAAAGAAAGGAAGAGAAAAGAAAAGATCTGAGAAAAGAAGGATGAAATAGAAACAAAGCTTTTGTAAATAAGGATTGGAAAAGAGGTTGAAGGAAGAGTAGGGGAATGGGAAAAAAAGAATCAATTTGTATCATGTACAGGTACAAGGTCCTATGATGAGTGTGATCATTATACCCAAAATGTACCAATAAACTTAATTAATAAAAACTATAGAAATAAACAAGCAAACAAAACTTCTAACCTAGGTGTGGTGGTGGACACCTATAATCCCAGCACTTGGGATAGTGAGTTTGAGGAAGCCGAGGGCTGCATAGTTAAGTTTGAAGCTAGCTCGATTATGTAACAAGATCCTGTCTCAAAATAACCAAACCTTCCAGTTTATTCATTTGTTTATTCATTCAAACAAGACTAAATAAACTTCACAAATCAGATTAATTGTTTTAACAGTAGATACTTATAAGCAAATTACAGACTTGCTTTTAATATTTAAACATTTCACCTATTTAAAATACATAAAACAGCCAGGCATGGCACACACCCATAATCCCAGCACTCAGGAGGCTGATGCAGGAGGACTGCCAGGTGTTCAAGGCCAGCCCGAGCTACATAGTAAAATTCAAGGCTAGGCTGAACTACTTAGTAAGACCCTGTCTTAAAAAACAAAACAAAACAAGATTTCCTCCAGTACACCATTCTACCACAATATTTCTGTCTTCCATAGGCCTAAAGTCGATGCTGTACAACCAGCCAACCGTGGACTGAAATCTCTGAAACCAGAAAATAAACATTTCCTCCTTTAAACTAATTTCTCAGGTATGCTGCCATAGTGATGGAAGACTAACATAATTTTCTCTTGACTTGAAATTACAACTGGATATAAAATATCACGAAGAGGGGTGGAAAGCCCAACAGGAAACTAATTTGAAAAACTTTTACAAAGTGTGATAACTGGGTCAACTATTCCGTATGTAATATTTCCATGGCTGACAAGTGTTTTATTTATATCCAATCCAGAAACATTATCTGTTCTGAACTATGAAGAGCAAATTAACAGCTGAGTTACATCATAGAATAGAATGAGCAAAAAAGCACTCATGGAGATGAATAGGGCAGGTAGTCTATATCCTTATCACACTGGCAATTAGAGAGGTTTAACCTCAGAAGGCAAATAATTTTTTGATCTGTTGGCTCTGTAAACTGCTTTTTTTCCAAACTTAAAGAGAAAAAAAAGATACAGAAAGACATTTTGAAAGGAATAATTATTAAACTGACACCTAAGTATTTTCTTTTTTATAACTGTTTGCCAAATCCAGCAATACATGCCCTTAATAAAAATGCTCTTTTAGGAGCTATTTCTTTGAAACTGACTGCCAGTCCCCCAATCACCCAATCTGTGAATTCCCTTAAGTTATACCTTTTCATTACAGTGACCTAAAAACGTGAAAGTAAACAGTAATGAAATCTTTTACAGAATAAATTAGTTATAAATACAGTAATGAAATATTTTAACTGTACAAGAAAAATTATAAAATCTCACAATATTTTCTGGCATTTGCAATTTTATTAAAAATTTCAAGAATCTAGATTATTTTTATGCAATATATGAATCATAAGATGGAGAATATTTCATTTTATTTTTTTAAATGAAAAAGTAAGCCTTTTTGATGTTGTAAGAAGGTCGAGAGGCAATGTAATCTTTATCCTATTACTGTAAGCAGAACTTTAGCAGAATCCCTTTTAATATTTTGTTAACTATAACCTTCATTTTGTAGGACATTCACATCAGAGAGGCATCACTTGGAAGCGTTATGATCTGACCAGACTTTTCATGGGACTACTGATTAACTTCCCCAGGATGAGCTTGTGAATTGCTCTGGCGGAAGCTGTGTTTCTGTACGAAGACTTCCCTTACTTATAGGAACCATTTCTATCTAAAAAGCCATTTGACTAAGTAATTCCCTTAACTCAGTTCAGTAATGCTACCTATTCACTCACCCAAATATTTCTTGAGCACTTGTGTTTCAGAAATAAAGAAGTATTCTAAGGTTTATTCTGGGCAGACATTAACACCAGGAGAAAATGGAACACAAGAGAGTGTGGGTGGGCACGGGTGGGCTAGAGGGTTATACTACAATAGCATTGTCGGGAAAGGTCCTGGAAGTGATGATATATGAGTTGGCACCAAAACAAAATACAGACAGTCATTCAAACAGCTTGGGCCAGGGAAGAAGGAGGGAGAAAGAACAGTGACTGCAAAGACTCCAAGTCGGGAGTGAGCTGCGTGTGGTGGTGGGATGAAAAGGCTAGTGCTCCTACAGCAGTGAGAAGGTACCTGTGGCGACGGGTAATAGGGCTCAAAATGCTGCAAACATGTTCTCTTTCCTCTATTAGGATCTCCAGAACTAGGCTCCACAATCACCTGAGTTCTGGATTTAAGATTTTAAAATTTTTAAATTCACTGCAAGTCAATGTTTTTGCAAAAGAAGCAAACAAAACTGAAAGTGAATATGCACATAAAACTTCTAGCACTACTAAATGGCATTAAAATTTCTACACTCTTAATTTTGATTTCTGTACTTCTGTCTCTGACCGGTTAGCAGACAAGTACTGTTCACACTCTAAACAGCAGAAGAGTAGTACACAGAAAGCTAGAAGCACTATACTATTACTTGACTTATCCTATCGCTGAGGATCACAGGGAGGTGAGGGGCAATGAGGGAATGTCACTGAGGGTCTCACTGCAAGACCCTATATTCCCCCCTCACACTCTTAATATTAAATCTGAAATCCTGTAACTCTATTTGGGAGTGTGTGGGTAAGGAGGCCAATCCCAAGAATTATTCTGACAAAAACAGAGAACTATCGCCTGGTTAGAACAACTGGAGCCATTTATTTCAGGTATCAAAAATGTGGAAGCCCAAATCATTTCCTTTTGCATAGCTCCTCTTAACTGCAATGTAGTATTCAGTGGCAACACTCAGTGTGTTCTATGGACTTCTAAAGATTTCCAGGATCTCAGCAAAAGGTCTGTGAGGTCAAAACCATTTTCAGTATGCTATTAGGACACTGGCTTTTCACTGTGTTAATATTTGCAGTATGACTCCACAGTAAGAGTAGGTAGATAAAACTCTAGGCATATCACCATAAATCAAGGCAAAGACACCTAACTGAGCTAGTCATTGTATTCTGCCACAAAACAAAGAGGTTCCCTAGGCATGCACTTTAGGAACCATCTCAATACTTTTTTTTTTCTGGTACGGGGAATCAGACTCACGACCTTGCACTTGCCAGGCAGACGCCTTGTGTCGCTGGCCTATATCCCCAGCCCTTAAGCATATATTTAAAATGTCCTTGATGAAGCAGCAAAACAACAAAGATTAAAACTTGATCCTGACATATCTTTTTAATACTGTATTGATAAAATGACTAGTTCAATAGTTATTTCTACAACAGAAGTTAGTACAATTATTTGAATGCATCAAGTGAATTGGCCAGTGTTATTTTTGCTTGAAAGAATGACAGAATAACTTCATTATTTAGGCTTGGGTAATTAACTGACACTTTCTCAAAGACACATGAAGTGAGTCTGTCATTTTAAGAAAAACAACTCATTATTTGTGGTGATAAAATCTAGGTTTTTAGGCAAAAGCCAGACTTTGAAAAACTTTTATCCATCATGTTAAGTTATCACAGCTCTGCAGTACTTAAAGGATTTTCCTAATAAGATTAGTGGGGATATTAACAACTTGAGTTAATATTTATGTTATAAAATTAAAAAGTATGAAAATTGGAAGATCTGAATGACTCACTGAATCAGTATTTCCAATGGACTAGTGCTGTAATGTTCTCAAAGCAAGCATGGATAAAAGATATACTGAGAGTGCAGAAAGACCAGTGGCTTTTAATGAAGCAGAATATAAAGCTTTAATAGGACTGATTCAGATTCCATGCAATGATTACCTTTAATAAACTGCTACTTATCAAACTTGGTGTACTTTGCAAGAATATTTATCATTACGTTAAAAGTCTAATTATATATCTGTGCAGTGGTGTGTTTCCTTCATATACTTCAATTAAAACACCACAACAAAGCAGCTAGAGAA